CTACTCTGCAGAAATTGTCAGTTTGCATTTTAACCTATCCTTAAAAGACAAAAGCTCACATCAAGAATCAGTATGGAAAACAGAAGCCTGCTGTTATGGTTTCTGTATCATGGCTCCTGAAGCTAGCACGGAACATGCCAACTATCACTTAAAAAAAGGGGGGCTGAAAGCAGCAGACATTAATCTTAACAACTCAGCATTCATACTAGTTCTTTCCACAGCTGTATCTGTTCTGCAAATAAAGATTCAATGCTGTTTCTCTTACCTCCTTCAAAACCATTCTCCTTTGAAAGGAAAAGGCTAAAGGCAGCACTCATACTTGCAGGAATATCTGTCAGTTGCAACATTAACCCATAGTTAAATTTGTCAATAGACGGCAGCCCAGAAGGGTTGTTTGTTTGTTTTAAGGATAAGCTTCAAAACATCTATTGCCGATGTAAGATAACAGATGTAAAAGTGAAAAGAAGCTTCTGCATAGATTTGGGAGATCCGCACTAAAGCGAGTATCAAGTCAAATCAGCAATTCATAGTTTACAAACACTCCACTATCAGCATGCTGCCATTAACATGTAACATCTACTCTTACCATATGTCAGGTAGACTAAAAAGAAGGTAGCAAAAAGATCCATTAGGATATCTCTCAAGTTCACATGACTAATGTCACACAAAACTGTAATCTATAGGCAGGACAACCTCCCCCTTCACCCTCAGCTCGTGTGTACCTTCTTGCTTTTAAATTCTAGTGAATAATTTATTGATTCTTTCCACAGAGAACTACCAAACCCATATTTTCTCTCCTCCTATACCCCTTTCCAGCAACCTCTGAAAACTTCCTTACTTTTTTACTAACCTACACACACCCTCAAAAACTAAAAACCCTGCAAACTGCAAAAAGCTAAATGTGAGCCACATGGCACTAGCACCGTACTCCTATTTCTGCTAGTGATACAATGTGTTGGGTTTGTCTGGCTGCAAGAGAAATACTAAGCCTGACAATTGTTTTGTTTCTTACTGGTCGAGAATAGAGTTTAACACCATAATAATACACTTCTAATTTAGCATCATCTGGAATGACTTCTAACAAGCAGGGAGATAGATTACCAGTATGAGAAAAAAAATAACATTTCCTTTTCCAAAACAGGTAAACTAATAATAAAAAGAAAAATTAAGTGAATCCAGAAACAAAACAAAGAAACAAAGAGGAAAGAAGTCTCATTAGCTATCATGTCAAAATTGGGGAAAAGGTTTTTAAAATTTAATTTGTTACTCACTACTATTGGACAGAATAGCCCCCATTACAAACTGTAATGGGAATCATCCTCTAAACAACTTGCAGCATTACTATAAGACAACCTGTAATAACTGCAAAAGCTTGTAGTAGCACCTGTACCTAGGTTTTCAAATCCTGTACATAATTTTACCTCCCAGTCCCTCTCTTCACTTTTCGTACTGCAACCAGAACTGCAGTAATTTCTCCTTAGCTGGACAGGCAAAACAAGTTTATCACATTCAGGAGCCTGAAATCAGTGCTAATTCCTGTACCAGTAACAAAGCAGAAGAGCTCGTAGAGGTCACACTGATGGTGCCTCACAGGTATAGACACCTCTGTCTCACACATCTCATTCAGCTGAAGGACCTTGTCACGAGTGATGACATTTTGCACACTAAACAGCAAAATAAAACAAAAATAGAACTACCCCATAACACAGTATGACATAGTTTTAACTCTTGTTAAACCCCACCAGATACATTAGTGCCATAATATATTTAAACAAACAAATAATCCAAACCAAGTGGTTTCAAGTTAAACCAAAGTTGCACATTCCCAGAGCAAAATTAGTCAAGTATGCATGCTGAAGGACAGGTACAAGAACAAGGCAAGCACATTACTGGATTTCACTAAGACCCACAGGTCCTAGAACCTCCAGAATTTGCAGCTCTTAGATCTGCTGAGCCTGAAGCACATCGTTGTGGTTAACCGATTCTTCTTCCACGACTAAACCCTTGCAATTTAAGGCAAGCCACTGTTCTAATAGTAGTTGGCACTTACTGGAATATTCAAAAAAGACACTATGGCACTCTGAATTCCCAAACTCGGGCTAAAGAAACTCACACAGCAACGCAGCTCCAACCATCTCAACCCCCTGAAACTGTAGCTAGACCCAGTTGAAGTTGTTCCACAAACAAACATTGAAGGGTGTGCTGTTTCAGGTAGAGCAGGCCTTTAGGTACAATTACTGAATGTTTTTCTTCCAAACTGTTCGCACTGAGAAACCATAACATTTTTTCCTCAAACGAAAGAGACCTTCACACCACCATCAAGAATTCTTATTAATAGGAAACTTCATTACAATAGGATCTGAGGTATACAACTCACTGGGACTTCCCAAGCAGTTTTTATTGAAGTCATAGCTATTTAAAACAAACAAACAAACAAACACAAACTTTATTTTGGCAAGCTTTTTGGTGCGTTTTCCCCCGCCCTTTTCTAAAATGTATTACTATAATGCTGAGTACCCTCCACACTTTGTTCTCATCTGAGACTAAAGATCCAGCATCGACCTGCTGAATTTGTTCAGGGCAGGTTTCACCTCAGACTGTCCAAGCTCCCTTCCCAGCGCTGCCCCTTCCCGGGAGGCGGCTGCCCGTCCGTCCCTTCCCTCCCTGGTGAGCCTTTGGGACTCCAAATCGCGCATCCCCGCACGGGAAGCCGGGCTCGCCGTATCTCCAGCCGCGGAGCGGGCGGTAGGTCGGGCAAGCCGGGGGAAGTAACATTAACCCAACCTAGGGGCTGCCCCGGCACACGCAGCCGGTCGGCGGAGCAAGGGCCCGGCGGCGGCGCGGTCCCGGGGGGCGGAGGAGGCGAGGAGGCCGGGCAGGGCCGCTTGCCCGCGGGGAGGCGCTGACGGCAGAGCGGCCCCTCGTAACGCTGGCGCGGCGGGACGCGCCGCCGCTGCCAAGCCCCGCCGCAGGGGATGGGGCGCGTTCCCCCCCCGAGCGCCGCGGGGCAGCCCCGGGGAGCGCCCCCGGCCCGTTACCTGCGCGCTCCGGCCCCGCCGCCGCCGCCGCCGCAACAAAGCCGCGAGAGGCGGGGAGGGGCGGGCGCGCCCGCCGCCCGCGGGAGCGCGCAGCGGCGGGGCCGCGCCCCGGGGCGGGGCGAGGCGGCCGCGGGGATGGGGCGGGGCCGGGCGGGGTGCGGGACTCGGGGGGCTGATTGGCGGCTGTATCCCCTGTCCGCACTCCCGCGTTCGGGCAGTTGTCGCCTTTAGCGCTGCGAGCGCTGGGCTGCTGCCCAGGCTGGCCAGGGACGGAATTCCTTCAGGGACGGAGCAACCACAAATGGAGAGACAGACCCCGCCAGGGATATGGAGTGGCGCCCATGGAATAGGTCATATAGAAATGGGATTAAGCCTAGAAGTGCTTTACGAAACCTGCACAGTGGGAAGGTTGCCCTTTTTGGGGGCAGGAGAGAGGAATGGATGGATGCGCCAAAAGAGACTGTCAGCAGGAGAATCGAACTGTGCTGAGATGCACAGATCTGGGGTTTGAATACTGTGAAACAAACGTAATAGTTTCCTAACAAGAGTAGAGTTTATTTTTTTAAGGGAGGTTACTATTCTGTAAACATCTATGTAATTTACCTGCACTCTGACCATTATTTTTCAGTTTGTTCATATAAACCTTTTTGTTGCAGTGACACCTTCTGCAGAAAACAAATCTAAGAGGTCAATTTCTGCACCCTCTGATCAACTCCAAATTCTCTTTGCTGAGGAACTACTGTAGCAAGTTCACCTTAATACTAGATTTGCTATTTGTACCAAAGGGAACACTGTACAGGAACATCCAAATCTCTGGAACTAAAAAGCAATGATGCTTCAGCATCTGCTTTTTGAGGACAGGGAACACTGGAGACGATGATAATGCTATATTTATTGAGCAGCAGACTCAAAGAGCCCAAACAGGAGAACTAAGGCAAATGCTAATGAAACATTGAAGTTGAGATTTTAATTACTTAAAAGTCAGCACATTTGAGGTTTATCAATTTAAGGGAGTTATTGCATGTTCCTACAGTGATGCCTACTCAGCTTTTACAAAGATAAAAAAATCTGCATTACTGTTTATTTGCTGATGCATGCAAATTATATAACTGCATGTTATACCTGAATATTATTCCTTTTTGCAATTAGGGTCTTAGTCTTTTAACACTTTCTCAGCACTTCTCTGTATATTTTCTATGTTCCCATAACTTTCAGTTGCAATAAACCCTTTGTTTTTCTCTAACTTTTGTTCTACATTACACGTTGTACTCTGGCATCTTCCGGAAAAGCACATCTTGGCCTTGCTGAAACTCCCTGTTGGGGGCTGCCAGCACTGGTGCTATGTCCCAGCACTTCAAGCCCATGCCCTGGTACCGTTTTGTTTACTAAGATGGGCCAACAGGTTACACTCCAGTTGACAAAATACCCGTGTCTTTTGAACATCGAAGAGCTGGATCCTATAGACTACAAGTTTTAAAAGAATAGTACGCTTCAGAAACAGCCTGTGAGCCGAGCGGCTCAAGCGACCCTTCCTAGAAGTGGAGCAGCAGGGGATCGGCGGGTGTTAGCTGGGTCCCAGCAGCGGTGGGGAGGAGGACTGCAAGTGTGCGCTGTGTGGCACCAGTCCCGAGGAGGGAGGACACGGCCCGAGCCCGAGGAGTCGCCCGGCCTGCCTTCCCCCACCGGCTCCCTGACAGCCGCCGAAGCCTCGCTCCCCGCCCCAGGCTGGGCGATCCCAGCGCCGGCCGCCTCGGCTGTGCCCTAAGAGAGAGGTTGCGGTTTTCCCGGCTGGAAACGACCGGGCAGGCCTTTCTCCGCTGCGATCGCCAGCCCGTGCCCTGCCCTGCCCTGCCCGCCCTCTGCCCGGCGGCTGCCAAAAGCCGCGGCGGGGCCCTGCGGTCCGGCGCCCCCGCCCCCCGGCGGTCGCGGCCCCCCGTCCCGCCCGCAGATAACCGCGGTCCCGCCGCCCCCCCGGCTCTTTTCCCACCCGCCCAGCGCGGAGTCGATCCCGGCTTGGCAGCCGCTCTCCAGGCGCCGGCTGCCTCTCGTCGCCCCCTCGGCGCGGTCAAGGATGGCTCGGCAGCGCGGGGGCTTTCTGCAGGAGGCCTCTAACCAAGTCGTCGCCGGAGGCTCGGCGGGTGAGTGGGCGCGTTCCTCCTGGGCGGGAAGGGTCTGCCCGTCCCCCGCCGGCGCTCCGCCAAGATGAGGTGCAGAGGCAAGGCGCGGAGCGGCGGCGGGGAACGGCTCGGATCAGCGGCGGCTCCTCCCCCGCCGGGCGGTGCGGGGCGAGCCCGGGAGGCGACCCACGGCCCGGGGGTCCCGGAGGCAACTTCTGTAACGGTGCTCGGCCAGCCGCGGGGGGGGGGGGCAAAGGGGGGCTCCGCGGCGTATCTGCGCTGCACACGCCCTGCAGCCCCGCGGGCGATAAGGGAGGCAGGCGGGCCCCCTTCAACGGCAGCAGCCGCCCGCGTCCCCCGCCCGCATAGCTGGAGCCGCGCTCGGTGGAGTCCACAGCGGGGATTCCCCTGTCGTGCCTTGAAGCGGAGCAGAAAACGTGGCTCCCCTGCCCAGACGCCTTCCCCGAGACACTCTCCGTCGCTGCGTTACAAAGAAACCGATGCAGGGCTACAGTTTAGCAATGAAAGCAATGCTGGTTAATTTCTTCAGGTTTCTTACCTAAATTGAAATAAACCGAAATATTCAAGTCAGTCCAGGATTTAGGGGATTTTTACACAATATTCTGCCCTTTTGGTGTATATATGTAAATTCTGTTGATATTTCAACTATCTAGTGTGTTTTTAAGTGTTCTTTAGTGTCTCTTGAGGTCTAAATGCTGTTTGTTGCATTATGTTTTCCATGGAAGAGGAAAGCGACATGGCAATGCTTTCCATAAGGTCCCCAAGGAAAATTCTCCTGTGGGTGAGTCCTGTGTGGTTATGACACTACATGTGAGCTGGTCTTCCATTCCCTCTAATTCTCTTGCTATCCCTAAATGCACTTCTGTGCATTCCTGCCACCAACACATATTTGAGCACTTTCTTTTCATGCCAGTGACTCTGTATGCCCTTTGTTTGCAACCTTCTGCTTTGACAGAGAGAGATGTCATAGCAGAAGTGGAGAATTCTTCTGTCCTGGCCGTTCCAGTGTATTGTATGACTGTTTATGCAGCCCTTCTGCAGCCTTGGAGATCTTAAAGCTTTTTTAGATTCTGCTTGGTACCACTCCACTCTTCCTTTAGGGAGGAAAGGGAAGGTTTAACCTGTCCTAGCCTGTTGAAGGCCCTTCGTACCTGAAAGGATACTGAGGTGTTTTGCCACCACATGTTTTGCAAGATGACATATTTATCTACCCATAGCAGTGGGCCTGTGCCTTAGTCATTCAGACTGGCCTAACACAGTATCTTGCCATCCTCTGACAGTAACCTGTTTTCGTTACAGGCTCTCTTTGTTCACAGAACAGACTGTCTAACACACCAGAAAGGAAATTGTCGTTAGACAAACACAAAGTTTTACTTCAGAAAGACTTCAGAGAGATTTTGTGTTTACTTTAGAAAGACTAGAATTGGAAGAGTGTGTTTGAGGGTGATGTATAGAAAAGACAGAATGAAAAATGCTTGCTGGTCTGGTAGGCATAAATCTTAAGATAAGAGAATTTTCAATTCAAGGAACCAACTGATCTGTACTTAACTCTTTTTAAAAAGTGTACTGCAAGAAGCATGTTGTATCTAGTCCAGAGACATAATGCTGAAGATGCTTGCATCCTTTTGCTTAGTCTCCTGTCAGGCTGGCAGGTTCATTAGCTCCATTGCTAGCCTTTAATCTCTACAGCAATTTCTACTCATTGGTTTTGAAATAAACCAATAACAACTGTTCTCTAAGTCTGAACACCACTAAAATTGTACCAGGATTTGTATGGCTCAAAGTAGGAGTTCTAAGATGTTAGAGTGAAATGGCTCAAACTTGAAAACTTGCTTGACAGATGCTTAAAGCTCAATGGTGTTTTCCTGTTCATTTATAGAGAAGGTAGAAGAGGAAGGCTGTAGCTTTGAGGTCTTCAGTCTTAAGGTTACATTTCTCAGGCAAGAGTGGATCCAATATGGAAAAGTGGAAGCAGAAAAAAAAGGATGGAGGGTGTGACTTATTGATAGTGTACTTAGTATTTCATCCTAGTGAGGGTTTTTGTTGCCTGACCTTAGGTCACTTAGACCACACAATATTGCTTTTGGCTGCCGCTGCAGAAGGACATAGGACTCCAGTAGGTGCTTTGTCATATTTCCTGGTCTTACGTGAATGTCACAGACATCCTAGAGTGGCTTTGCTGTCTGTAACACAGCCTAGTATTTAGAAGGAAACTGAAAAAAAACCACCTAAAACCAAACCATTGTTAGTTAAGCACAAGGAATGTATGAAGCTGTTTCTAAGAAAGATGCTCTGAGTTGGAATCTGTCAAAACAGCAATAAGAATGTAGTGAGGTGGTTGGGAATGAATGACATAGCCCAATAGGTGTAACTGAAGGGTCAGAAATAATTGCCTGCATAAGTAAAAATAAGAGATAATTTAGCATCTGCATGTCTGATGCAAAGGGATCTGATAAGAAGTAATTCTGCTAGGTCGAGTGGAAAATTATTAGATAAGCCTAAGCTGTCAGAACAGGAAGAAAGGATTTTTTGATGCTTTATGGAAGATGACAGGACTTGTTCATGAACTTAATAAAGACGGGGAAGAGGCAAGAAAGAAATCAAGCATGACCCCTAGTCTACAGGGTTGATAAAATGGAAGATACTGGCATGCTGAAGGAAGGAGAAAGGAAAGTATTCATTAGTTTAAAGGAAAATATTTAAACACATGGTTAGCTGGCATAGGCATTTCTAAGTTAAAGATAAACTTTCATGTCTCTGTGCTGTAATTGAACTGTAAAACTCAAACATGACAGATCTCATGCATCGTATGGCTTGTAATCTGACTTCATGTGAAATGGAAAGCTCTGCTTCCTGAGGGTGAACTAAATCTTAAGTGTGAACAAAATGTTACTTGGTCTTGGCTTATGTTCTTTCTGCTGGCATTGTTTGTTCCTGTCTTTCAGATTACCAAATGAAGGTTAAAAGCGCAATTGAAAATACTTTGTTTTGTTTGCTTCTCTGAGTGAGGAACAGGACTTTGATTGAAATGTAATTGGGACACTTCGTTAGTAAGTTCAGGCCCTTCTAGTACAGAGAACTGTAGGCATACTCCTTTTCTCTAGTGGTTAATTAGTAAGCTATGGCATGTGTGGAATTTATAGTAAAAAATTAAACAGAAAATAAACTCTCTAAACTGTAGGAATCACTGTGAAAAGAACAACTTGGGAATCTCTGATTTCCTTAGATTTATAGCAGTTCTTCAGAAGTTTATTTGAGAAGTTCAGTCAATGCAGGGTTCAAATCACAAGAAGAATTGTTTCTCTAATGCACAAGGATCAAAAAAAAAAAATCCTTGTTTTGTCTGCCTGTATGAAAAAAGCCAGAAATTAAAACAATAGAGTTGCATACAAAGTTGATGGATATTTCTTTATTCATGGAGAGGAGTGCAAAGTATGTTATGTGATACCCAGGTCAATTTGTCAAGACATCCTTGTAACAGACTCTTGAGTCAGTTTGAAAGAGAAAGTGCATATGTCATAAACAATTGTACACATACCCTTGGCACAGTGAAGGCAAGTGGCTGAATATAGTTACCCTAAAGGTTTTAGGATGTTACTGCTTGGTATAGGTGTGCTCTTGTTTTTTAATAACAAGACTGCAGATGGAGCTAAACCCACAAGTAACATAAATAAAATTTAATTTATATTTTGTTGTATTATCATCTTCTTCCATACATGTGCAAATATCATATAAACATTTTAAATTTTGAAGTTAAAATTTTGAATAATTTTTTTAATATACGTAGTGATAGAGAGATGACATGTTTTTCAAATCTTTAACTGATCTTTAGGTACTTTGCTCCTGTAATTCAGTGTGTTTCTTTGCCTAATTCTATTTAATAACTGAACATGAACCATTGGTTCTCTTACTGCAAAGTGGTTATGGAAAAGTCAGAACAAAATTAGCTTTAAAATAAAATAACTATTTTGTAAGAATAATTGAGGCTGGTTTCTTCCATCTCCCTCCCGCATTCTTCATATTTTCATGGAACAGCAGGGTTTCTGCCTGACTGGGCCTCTAGGCTTCAATTTTTAATTTTTTTTTTTTTTTTAAGAGTTAGGTTTCCAACTAACCTATTAGGATTTTGGAGTCTGATTCTTTTAAGCTCCTTTGAAAGTCAAATCTTTTCTTTTGAGAGGTGTTTATTTCAGGAGTAGACAAAGTTGATTACCCTGGATAGCAGCAACTCCTTTGAGCAGGATCTCTAAGCATGAAGGCCACTTGTTGAAGTAAAACTGTCAAATGTGAATACAGTATTAAAAACAGTTCATATCGCTAGAGACATCAGGCAGACAAACATTATTACAAGGTATGATAGCCAGCGTACTCTGTGAAACACCTACGTTATTTGGTCCCTATGAATGGGAGAGGGAGCTGAATGGATGAACAGGAAGCACTTTAAACAGCAGGAAAATTGTCTATCCCCACTCCCCCCCCATTGTTTAACTAATTTGTTTTTATTATTTTTCTGACAGTTTTATGGGAATTGAAGTTAAGAGCAGTGTTCTGTGTTTTCTTGGGTGCTCTTTTCTTGCTTTTAAGCCATACAATTTGCATTCCCATGTTACTAAAATAATCAGTTAATGCTCAGAGGTAATTTCAACTAGCTGAGTGCTAGTAACTATCTTGACTTGAAACCATAATATTTTAAAATGCTTAAACCTTCTTTTCTCTGAAGTCTCTTAAGGCTGCAATATTATCTGAGGCCACAGTTTTTCAATGTCTTTCACTGCTTTGCTTTGGTGTTTGGGATGTTAGCAAATATTATATTAGAAAGCTAAGGATGGAAGCAGTCAAATAGTATTAGTTTCAAGGAAACCTTCTGCAAGTTAAACTACTCCAAGGGAATGCACTTGCTGCAACCAATGAAGCCAGTTTTCTCTACTAGTCTGAGAAATTAATAGCGTGCTTACCTAGTGTTGGACATGGAGCTTTGGAGAGGAGTTGCTTGGTTGGCA